GACTGCATCATCTGATGTGTCTCATTSTAATTAGAACTATGTGAATTTCTAGAAACTTAACTGGATGCAAGCAGTGGCAAATTCTAAAAAAATCATTGTCAGGAGTTTTTTAAAAATCCTTTGTTTGCAGTTCCCATACTTGAAAGTAATTCTCTGTTTTCATCTTGCCTCAGTGTGCATGTCAAGGTAAATGAGTCTTCTCCATGCGTGCACACAGCTCACATGAATGATGATGGAGATTTCATGGCATGTTGAAGGGCATTCATACCTAGTGTTACTGCATTTTTACAGCAGCGCTTACTTTTGCTGCATATTCGGTTTCCTTTTCTCTCCCTTCTTCCCTTCCTTTTCTCAACCACCACTGTTGTTGGCAGGAATGCACAGCTGTAGGAAATCTCCTTAAGGAAGCKGGCAAATCTGAGTTTATTATACATCAAATTAGTAGCTTTGATTTATTTTGAATATCTTGAATGTGATGGGACACTTTCATTGCAACTCTGCAGACATACATTAGATCTAAGATTTTAAATAAATGTTATACGACATGTATATAGGCTCTGAAGTCAAACCACACTGCCAAAGTGTAATAGAGAAGGTGTTAAAATGATCAAGTTCTGTTTTTTAATCTTGAAAGAAGAATCCTCTACAAAACATGTATTTGGTGTAATGATTGTTGAAAAACTTTGAGAYGTGTGTCACAAGGTTTAGCTGTAGAGCCTTGGAAATGCTGCTATTTTCATTACTTATATTAAAAAAAAAAACACATAGAAACAAGCAAGCAAGTAAACAAAAGCTGTCRTTTTCTTTGTGCCTCTGCTGCACGATCCTTAATTCGATGAAACTGAATGATTTTTTTGCACACTGTTTCCATTGATTTAAATAATTTAAGTATTAGATATTCTGAACAATCGTGTGGTCTCTTGGGCCCATACAGGTTACCTACTTCTTTTTCCAATAACTCAACTACCTGACTAGGAAAAAAGAATGCAAAGAACTTCACATGCCGTAATTTGTTAAAAGACTCCAGACACTGTTAAGAAAAYGGAATGCCAATTTTAGGTAAGGTAAATGAAAATACACTTTTATCTACAGAAGTATGAGTTTTCTGAGGTTTACACTGTGGAAGGCTGTTGGCATGGGAGATTACTACACCTCAAGACCAAAAAAAATGTATATTAACTACAACAAAATCAGCAAATAATGGGATTTGGAAAATTGTTTAATGGTTTTATGTATTGAATGCAACAATGGTTTTATATATTGAATGATACAATGACAATATTAAAGATGAAGTTAAATCACAGAGTTTTAGTGTGTATCATCAGTGCACGCAGTGAGTGTGTCAACTGGCCAGTCAATGCTTAACCTCTTGCATGCTAAGCCAGTAGAGGGTAAGTGCGATGAAACTAAGACAGACAGTCTATTTCTTTGAGAAAATAAAATAAAATAATGTATGTACACTTTTCATCTTGYAAACTACTTGCAAGATCAAAATATCAAACAATTGCAGTTTAGCTGAACAGAAGATCAGCTTCCTTCATGTTTGGAAGAGGGATGGACAGTGTCACAAATATGTCAGGGAGGAGAGGTTTCCCTTGCAGAAGGGAGGTTTATACAGTACATAACAGTAAGGCTTTTTTCACTTAGTGACTGAGAAATCTGGTTTATGARTAAGTATTTTGTGTACCAGTGCATACTTGTTTTGCAGGACAATTTCTTACTTTTTTCTAAACTTTTTTTTTTTTTTCCTAATAACCTCACAATTTCAGCCAGTCCATTTATTTAATTGTGTTGTGTTCTAGCTTAAAGTCAAGCTACCTAACCCTGTCATTTTACCTTCTCAAGTGCAGTTCCACATTCAGAGTTATCAACCTAGTACAGTTATCACACAGTAATAATAGGCTACCCTAGCTGTGCGAGCAAATTTAATTAACTGCAGAAAAGGAATTCTCTGTACTTCTCAGCATTGGCCAACATCCAGAAATACATAGCTGGTATATGACTTTCATGCTATAGAAAATGCTGTAGAATACAGACCTTACACATATGTGTATAGGGATTAATCTGCATTGTCCTTTGCTTAGGAAATCCTGATTTAGTTCCCTTTTTAATGTCCTCTCATGGCTTCTCATCTGCTGCATTCATGCTTGGCTTAAATATTACTATAGATTTTACCATGAAAATGTATCTGAAATTTTAAGTGGCATAAATGCTAAAGGAGGTATCAAAAATGCCTTTATAATAATGCTATCTTCCTGAATGATGTTTCCAGCAACTTCAGTAGTTGGGGATGTTAAGTTGTGAAATACATTGCTTGTTAGCATGAATATGCCAAGAGTGAATGTAGTGGAACCTCAAAATTGGCATTCACCCCTCCAGCTCCTCCACATACCAACAGCTTCTGCTTTGTTCTGTCTGCAGCAAGCGCCCCACATCTGTGCCTGCTCCTGATGCCTGCCTGGCACATCCTACCCCTCCCTCTGCCCTGTGCAAAGCTTTCCAGCCACAGCTCCAGCTCCTTTGCAGCCTCTCGCTCCTCCACGTGTTTCTGTAGGCAGACACTAAGCAGCGCCTGAATTGCACAAAATGCCTTGGAAACACTTGTCTGAGTACTGTGCTTCTGACCAGCTTCTTGTAGGTATTCTGCATGTGGAGGGTGGAATAGTGCTTATTWTCAATCAGATTTACTCATTTGAAAATATTTGGCATTGCATTTGGGATTAATTTAGCAGAGAAATACAGCAATTTACTGACATCACACCCAGTACGAGTTTAAGCTGCACTTAGCAGAATAAAGCAATTGCAATATACAGCTGAGTCCTGACAGACGTGGTTCCTGTTACAGTCTCTGTAATAGGTTCACGAACATGACACTGGCTCAGCCCAGTCTCTAGGAAAAAATAAATGGCTTGAAACCAGCTCAAGGCTTTYGCTCTCTTCCAAGTGCTGTTATTGTTCAATTTTATAATCTCTGCAGGGCTGAGCTCTGAATACAGCCCCCTGCCCCTGCCAGGCTGACTAACGCAGGGCGACATTCACGCTGTTTGGATTAGTGCAATGAAAGAGCATTTACCCAAGCAGCTGAGCTGCTCAGCTGATGGAGCCCTTCATGGAAAACAAAGGCCCCGCTTTGGCCCTGTATGCCAGGATAAGTTCAGCTTTCCTTGCAACAGCTGTAGTCAGTCACTGTCCACATTCGCCCAAGCTGTGGAGCCCCTTGGAGAGCCACCTTCTCTCAGGGGTGGGTTTTGGCTGGTGACAGAGCGTCATCAGATTGTATTACAGGAGTTAATATGTGTCAGTTTTGATTGTCCTTGTAACATTATAGGTGTCTTTTTGTGTATGTTACGAATAATTTCTGCCTATATTATCCTGTTATTTTGCCCTATTCAGTGGGAGGAGCAGTGGTGGTGTTTTGTGTGATGTGCTGCGGGGGATCCTGAACCTTCTCTGGACCAGAACTCCTGTAGCATTAGATAGACTTTTCCAGCGTCGTGACTTTCTAACACCTGTCAACAATTTGAATACAATTCTGTGGGAAAGGGCATTCGTTAGCTCCCAGGCTTCCTTTCCATCACTTGCTAAGGTCTGCGGTAGGCAGTAAAAGCGCAATGTTAGAGTTCATTCTGAGCAATTGCAGGAACCTTTCATAACAAATACACGAGGCTGCTAATTGTAAAAGTGTTGGTTGAGAAGTTCTACACACAAACTGATGTGAAGAAAATGACACTGCAGAACCTGATAATAAAAACATATCATACATTGTTTTCTCTGCATTTTATTTCTATTCTGATCTATTAATTTTTGGATTAAGTGTTGTGYTGAAATTATTTTTCTTCTTACCTCAAGGTTGATGGCACCCACAAGCATCCCTGTCCCTCCACTTACCTATATGTAAGGCTTAAGATGTCTTACCTCTAGCTTATATACTGCATTTAAGTACCTAAAAYTAGTTTGGATGTGTCAAGGTTTGAAATAAGCTTGCTTTTTACTTGGAGATGGAARACATATTTTTACTTAGAAACTAAAGAATGTTAATAAGGACCCAGCAAATTCTGAAAATCGAAGAAAATAMCTGTCACTTGTTACAGTATTTTATCAGTAGAAGCTTGAAACTCAAGACTTTGGAGTTTCTATATAGTAGCCAAATTTTACTTCCATGCTTGTTCCCCCCTCCACTTCCCCCMAAAAATGTAAATATTGTATTTCTTATATGGAAAAAAATCTTTAGATGATGATTTAGTTTTACTAGAGTAAAGTTAGTAAGAATTTTCATCACAGATATATTTCGGTTTTATTTTAAATTATAAATGCCCTCCTGAATCAAGATGTGCACTATAGTGAGAGGTGGGGCTTTGTTGCTGTTATTAGAAATACTGGTCAGATATAGAGTCTTTCAGTTTGTTGTGCTGCTGTTTAAGAGCTCTCAGTCACTYAAATGATTTGGACACTGTTTCTAGAGCATAGTTCTTCCATTGAAACAAAGTCTTAGTGAGAAATGGCATAACATTTTTGTAGCAGTGTGTCACCGATGTTAATTCAGGGGCTGTTCCTAGGGAATGTTTCTGTGCTAATGAAATTAGTGATTGTCCCATCTTGACTCCCCTGTTTGTGTGCTTCTCAGAACTAATTTTTGCTGTTGCTAAGAGACCACAAGAAAATCTACCCTGAAAGGGTTTTCTCCATTAGCACTGATAATATTAGGGACTTGGGGAAAAGGCGTCTGAAGACCTACTCGGAACTGACAGAACTACCTAGATCTGGCAACTGGATTGAAAAGTGCTTTAAAAACACATCAACAGTGCTGCCATGTTTAATTCATATTGTAGATTAAATGAAAACAGCAAATCTTCTAACTGTTTGTTTGCTGCACTCTGGAAACGCACTGCGTGGCTGTGTGTCGTCCTGCATCTGAACATCTTTGTCTTACTATTTTTAAAGGATGTTGATATGAAACCTGTATGTCTTTGGTGACTCTGGTGTCTTCATTACAGGTGCTGTTGTCAGGACTGATTGGGGTAGTGTCATGGAAGAGGCCCCTTTCGCTTGTGGTGAGTGGCAATGTTGCTTAATTACGTTAAACGGACTTTATAAACATCAATGACCTATATTGACCAAAGTTTTCTCTGCAAGCAACTCCTAGTCATTTTATCTTTTTCTAGAGCCATGTCAATTGATTTTCCAGATCTAGGTTTAGTTGTCTTGCCCTTTTACAGTAATGTTGCAAATAATCTTTTTAGTAAGACTATAGATTGCAACTTCCCATTTTATTTGTGGTTCATGATGACTTCCTTACTGTTCAGTAGTAAACTGAACTCAGTTGTATACTTCTGAAGTAKGTATATGTGCTGCTGTGATATTGTATTATATGGACAAGCAAAAAATTAAAAACGAAAGAAGACTGTAAAATAGTCCCTTTTTTGGAAATGCCTTTCTGCTCCATTTATTACCGAAGATGTGTATGTCATCTTGATGTACAGATACAGAAATGATTGATTTTGTATATTTTTTTCTTATAATTGTTTTCTGCATTCACTTTGATTAGAATGTATCTGACATATGTTGAATGACATTAATTTTGTATGTATGATTTGGGAAATAATTCAGAATGCTGTTGTGTTAGAGAAGCATTTAGTAATCCTTCCTTAAACTAAAGAGGACAGTAGTCTGAGCAGAATAATTTATCCTGCTTCGTTTTTGTGAAGCGTGTTTCTCTCAAGTACAGGTATCCTCTTGATTTTAGAATATAAAATAGTGCTAAAATGCAAAAAGCACTAGTGATAATTAGACCTGCACTGTATATTGTATCATTTTACATATTTTTAATATAAATAGTGGGAAACTGGAACCCTTGCAATAAATAAGCTGTGGTGAAGTTTTGATTTATTTGCAACAGATATAACAAATGCTTTGGTGACAAATTAACACTGCRATTAATAGATCTGTAATTGATTGCCACTTATAAGCATATTTCACATGCTTATAAGGCTTCATAATGAAGCATTGATTGAGTAGAACTGAATTATTTGGTGTTGAAAACTGCTAGCTTATTTAAATTAAATAATTTAACTCCTTAAGACACTGTTACCTTTATTGAATAAATATAAACACTGGTTTGCTTTTTCATTATATAGACTTAGAAAATATAGAAACAAGAAGATATTCCTGTTTTATCAAATGCACTTACAGCACTTAAGATCTCCTCCTTTGTCTTGTTATAGTATGTGTGTGGAGCACTAATATATTACAAGGAAAACCAAGCTGCTCTTTATCTGTGAAACAGTTTTGAGCTACATTATGTGTTCTGCTGGGAGAGTCATGTAGTGACTTAATGAAAAGTAATTCATACTTCGTGTATGTGTACCAATAGAGCCACAATTTAACTGTTAGCACAAAGCAGTAGTAGATTCAAATAAAAAAAGATTAAACTGTGAGATAATTGTGTTAATAACGATATATTATCAAGTAAATATTACTTTTGAAAATGCATGTGTCTGTATTYAGCATTTGTAACATAGTTATATACGCCCAGGACACAGGAATGTAATTGAAAATATACAGAACTGTATAGAATAAGAGTTAGCTTAATTCCAACTGTATCAGTATTAGGAACTAAAACAGTAGTGCTAAAGCTTTTGCGATTTTCTTTTTTGTTTTTGCTTTTCRTAAATAAGATTTCTTTTTTGCTGTAGAAAAAAATCTTTATTACTAAAATCCTGAATACCTGGATATTTTAGATGCAGCCATTCCTTCAGATGTTGATTCTTTCARTGAAATCTGAACAGGTGCTTGTGTAGCATTCAGTAGCATCATGACAAGATATATAAATGGGAGGAAATATTAAATGTTAGTAGTCTTTCAGAACAGCTCACATTTCTAAAATTTGTTCCAGGATCAGTTATTCCCAAGAGTTAAAACTGGATTATTGTTGTTCTGTATTTGCACTCCTGATTGTATAATAATCAGTTGAAGGAAGGAGTAGAGGACGGTGTTTTTGCCTCTCTGTAGTGCAGCTGTGCAATAACCAGTGCTAATTGATCGTTTTGCAAAGGTTGCAGTGTCATTTTTCCTTGTTGATTTGTAGATACCTTTTAGCCACATGTAAGCACTATGACTGTTCTGATTAAGCATTTAATARTTAAATATTAATTGTATGCTATAACTTTGTATGTATGACTTTTTAATGTATGACTTTTTACTTTCTGTGAAAAATACGCAAAGTCCCAGCAACAATATGATGAGTTGTATTTCTTGCAATCTGCTTGTACAATATATATGCAAATATAGGCTCAGCAGTTATCTTTTTGCAATATTTATAGTTTTATCACTAGCTGTATAATAGATTCCAATATACATTGCTTGTTTTTTGCAATGTGTTTCATAATACAGCACTGAAAAGGGCAAAGGCCACCTAGAAAGATAGCTTCACTATTTGAAGCCATAAAATAAGGTTTTATAAAATTAAACCTTAAATGAGACYGCAAGCTGTACTGTTTATGGGGTGTTTGAAAACTGGGCAAAATGATGCTTCTTATTTCTGAAGGCGAAAAGTTGCAGAATAATAAGCACAGATGGTAGTTATCAACAGTTGGGTTTTGACGGACTCTTAAGAGGAATGTGTTACGCAGCATTATCACAGCATGTTAGAGGTGGTTGTGTGGTTTGCCACTTTGGAACCAAAGGCAAAACTGAGCACAGTTGGGTGTTTACAAAGCAGGGAGGAAGTTCTGCTGTGATGCTCATGTGCAGAAGTATGTAGAGGCTTCCAAGGCAGAGCAGTGTCTTTGCATAGTTTAATCCTCTAAAGGATTCGCTAAATTATGTTGATTTGTCTGAGCTTTATTTGGTCCCCATCTAGCCCTCTGTTGCTTATGTTTCCAAATCACTTTACATAAATGAGTATCTCTGTTATCAAACTGTATTTACATTTTCTAAAGGAGTCATATGGGAAATGGCGGCCTTATTTTAAATTACTTCTGGATTAATTTCAAGCAGTATTTTTCACATATAATATTCAGATGTTTCTGCATTAGACTCTGCATTTTTAATTATGACATCTGAGAGAGTTTGTAGTGCTCTGAGGAAAAGTCCCTTATTTAGACACTAAATCCTGGGTGTGTCAGGAGGACTGTGTTGAGACAGGAATTTGCTTCCACATGGTCTGAACAGAGATTATTTTCTCTCTTGTTTGTACCCTTTAGAAATTAGTAAAAGCATGCATTCTGCTGCTGAAAGATTTRTTAGGCTTTTAGTTTAGAATCAATGGAATTAAACCAAGGAGATGATATTATTGTAGTAATGATGATCAGAATTCATTAAAACAGAATACTGCTTATCCAATAATTTAAGAATTAAAACGCATCTTGGGTACTTGTAATTTGTAATTGTGTTCCAGTACAACTGTAAAATCCCCCTCCCTTCCTTTTTACAGCGTACAAGCATTTTTTTCCTAATTGCAAAACTGAGATGTCAGTATTATGGTTAGGTTTCTACAAACATCCAAATTTGCAAGATTCCTCAATCTTGCATTGAATTCCATCTTAATAGTCTTTAAGGAAGGAAAAAATAACTATAGTGCAATCAATGACTTTTCACTTCAATAGAATGAGTAATTCCGAAGCTACAAAACAGGAATTAATTTTATGCAGATATTCCTGCGTAGTACGCTTGTCATTCAAAAACTCTATCAGTACACAGTAATAGGTATTTTCTGGCATCTTTAGTTCATATATATACATAGTYGTGTGTGTATTTTCTTACAAATGGGCAATAGTTGTTGCTAATTATATATAGATTTTGTACCTTTACAACCAATTTAAATCTGTCATTGCCAGGAATCCTTAGAGGTTTTGTCTTTTTTTTCACTCATTCATGAAGACAGTTAARATTATGTCAGGAATCATTGCTTTCTGTTAACATAAAAGCCCACAAAATGAGGCCAGAGAAATAAAGAGAAGAGAAAAATAGTTTAAAAAGCAATTAAGTTTAAAATATCTGTGGRCCAGTTCTGTGCTGCTACCTTTTATTGAAGGCAATCGGCAATGGTGAAATTGGTCCAAATGGATCTTCCCTTCTGGCCTTTCCTGGCTTGAAATAGGGGGAAAATGTGCTAGCGTGCACATCCGCAGCCTTGGGTAACTTGCTTGTAGCAGCTGCAAGGTTGCAGAGCTGCTCTCTGCAAGGTTAAGGGAAAGGTCTCACAAGAGGGAAAGAGCTTGGGTGGCTGCTGAGACAGAGCTGCCTAATGCAGAACTGCACTGTATGCTCTGGGATTTTTGGCTGTTAGAATTCATGGCATGAATGAATGGCTTTGGAGCGTCTCGGACTGCCCTCTAGCAAGAATCAGGGAAATCCCAAACTGGCTTTGGTAGAAAATACTGCTCTGGGGCCAACTCAGTAGTTTGTTGCAAAATGAGAGCTCTTCCATAGAATCCAGGGAAATATTTGAACTATTTGAATATTTGACTTTTTTTTTCCAGTAATAGGTAGTAGAAAAGATCTGTACCTGTTGTAAATAGAAAATTATTAGTGATTTTAAATAAACATATCTGCACATATACCAGCTACATAAAATATATGGATACATAACACCAGTTCTAACCTTACAGATGAGTGCCAGTTACCATAAACAAAAACATGACTAATAGGCAGATTGGGTGTTAGTCTCATTTGGTCTGAGCTTGATTCATCTAAATTGCTTTTTTTTTTTTATTTGTGCAGTACTTGATATTTTATAGTACTACACATTTTTAATACTTTTGAGATTTTAATGACTGCGAATTATTTGCATGACAGCTTTCAGATTCCATCTTTCTCATAAAATAGAAATTACTAATATTTTTTTCCAACATATCTGTTAATATTCAAATCTCTTGAAAGACTTAGTTGAACAAGTTACAAACTTGTAACCAGTTTTTAACCACTTGTACTGCCTGTATTTCTCAGTCTTTCTGTTTTTTTCTTGATAGGTTTACATTTCCTGTGTTGGTTTTGGTAGCGATAGGAACATTTTAGCTTTTGTTCTCTGAAAGTGTAGACTTGAGAAAAACTT